TTACGGAAGGTGAAATCCCACCACTGATACGATGTTTCTGGATGACCTGACCAGTTACAAACCCTGACCAGTTTGCGTCAGAAAAAAACAACTTGCTTTGTAGATCCCATTAATGCTCTATGGTGCTGGTATATTTACCTACATAACTGTGCCATTTTTGGGGTAAATGTAGGTAAATATTCCATACATGGAGCATTTGGGATGTTTGTAGAATCAACACAAAAAACCACTTGAAAACAAAACAGAAGATTTTTATGTCCCTTCCCTTTTTGCTCACTATTATAATGAAAAAAACATCCGGAGACAACCTGACAAATTACAGCAACACAAAGGACAATAATACACCTCTTCCATCTGTGGTTAACTCCATAAACCATCCCCATGTTGAGATATGTGGCTGAATTCTATTGTTTATGGGTAGATATATTTGTTTTTGTATATATATATATATGGGCTTCGTAAACCAACATCAAAGATTGATGGAAATCATCCCTAAAGTATATCCCATAAACCATCCCTAAGTCACCATGGCCCTGGAAGTCATCCCCAAACGCCTGGGCTTCTGGGCTTTCACCGACGAACCGCAACGAGCGTCTGCATGGCGAAGAGGCCGCGCATCTCGGAGGTCAATTGGTGGAGACCTCGGGTCATTAGGATGAAGATCAGCTGCTTCGTGGCATCGCGTTCCTGGCGTCGTGAGTTGTGGAGATATAACCATGGTGAAAAACTGTGTTTTTCACAAAAAAAATGATATTCATCGTGTGTATTTATGTATATATATATATATGTATGTATTAATGCGCGAATAAAAACAAATAACTTTCGCGAATCTTTCGCGAACCCTACCTTTATCTTCGCGGAGGTCTCATGTTAAAATCTTTCGCTAAATCTTTCGCCCAAACAAAATACTTTCGCAAACTCAGAAAAAACTGTCGCGGGTGGTCTCATGTTGGAACCCTGGCGGCCTTTGATCTCTACATGGACCTTTAGGTCGACAATAATATAATATATATATGTAATATAATTATATATTATAATTGATGATCATACGATGATTATATATATATATCATGGTCATGTACTATTGATGATTCGTCCTACACAATTACACAATGATGATAGGCTTTTCGGGCCGGGGTGGGGATCAAGATACTGAAAAATCACAGCACCGCAAAAGGAGTTCTGTGTGAATAATGACACAGTTAAAGCCCTTTTCTAGTTACCCTCTGGTAAACTAACATAGCTATTGATCATGGCCATTTATAGTGGATTTACCCATTAAAAATAGCGATTTTCCATAGCTATGTTAGTTTACCAGAGGATATACATGGTCATAAATGGTAATAAGTGGAAAGAAATGGTGATAAATATAGTTAATTATAAATGGTTTTATCATTCCATAAATGAGGTTTGAACTGACTCATAGCTGGTTTTCCAGGGCTATAACTGTAAGAACAAAACCACTCTCAACTTGGAGAGTTTGACGGATAATGACCAAAATTCACAGGAAATCTTATGGAGAGATAATGATATAATAACGAGGAACACTGGGGATTTATTCAATCATTTGTGACCCCAGAAATCATCATCATGAACTACAGGAACAACAAAATATCAACGAAAACAGGGATGACTGTTCTGTTTTCCCATTTCCACATCTTTCCATTCGAAAACCACCATGGATTCCTCCTCCTTCAGTGGTTTTTCCATATCCAACATCTCCAGTGAATCTCCAGTGAAAACGCCAAGGGTCAAAGACCGCCAGCAGCGTCTCATTCATCAGTTTTCGGGATTCCTCAACAGAACTGGGACAGCCACTGCATTCGCAGCGGGACGACCGCTTCGAGCCGGCACTCCAGATGTTGCTGGTCTTCCACTGCACTTCGCACCTGGAACATGGGAAAAAAAACGCGAAAACAAGGTTGGTGCAATGTGGGGACCCAGTGAAATGTTTGTTGGTTTATCTCATTTAACTATAGTTTTAAGCCGTTTGAAGTTCCAGCCTGATTCATCCAGTTATAAACCAACTTAGCCTGCTATGGGGTCCCTCGGTGTGGGAAGAGGTGGGAAGAGGAGAGGTTTCTGTGAACACATTTACTGTGTGATGCTGAAAAACCGCACCAAGAAAAGAAAGTACCATGCCTGCTGTCAGGAGGAGAGAAAAACCAAGACAACATACTGTATATATATAATCTATAAATTGTGTATTATATCTAGTATAGTATATATATATATACACTCTATAAATATATATATGGTATATACACTTGTATGAACACAAATATATATATATATATTATAATAGACAATGTATAGATTCGAAACAAGTTTAGTCTTTTTTGAGCTGCAACTTTTGAAGATTATCCCTGGAATGTCAGGATTCACAGTGACCCTGAAGAGAACATCACTATGAGACTTGGGAAGTGAATCCATGTAATAAGCTATTATTATCAGGCTAAAAAACACATTCACTTGCTAGAACACACTATTATGAAAAAAAAAACATATTCCTTTGTTGTTTCTGAAATTAGTCTAATTGGACTTGCACATACTTGCAAACAAAGTCTAAAGAATGTAAGGACATATCAATCAATGAGCTTCGAAGGGAAGATATAGCTTCCTCTGTCCTTTGCACTGTGAAACAAAAACAATCATCTATCAATGAACTTCATCTATCATCTACTTGTCAATCATTAATCAATCGGAAAGCTCTCTTAGCTCCCTAAAAGTCCCACCAGATAATTAGTCATGAAATTTCATGATACTCTGATACTCGCATACCAATATGAGACCGTCAATATCTCATGTACATGGTGGTATAATCATCAATATAGATTGATATAGACACAGATTGAGTTAAGGGAAAATATTAACCGGAAACCATGGATTTTCCGATAAAACAAAATGGGGGTGTCCGGTTTAATAAAACAGTTCCCCTCAACCACTCCGTGGAAATTAGCAACTGAGCAATGTTCAAAATCCCTCCATCGTTCCGTTATATTGGTTAATAAGGCTTCCCCTATTGGATTATTTATATATATATTTAAATCCACAATATATTGGGTAGTAGAAGTATAATCTCCAAACTAAGCATCAACCAACAGGGGTTTAGCAGCCACTGCTCAGATTGAAAACCGAAGCCGAGGCAACCAAGGCACAACAAAGGACAGCGATCATTGTCGAAGACGCCCTTGCAACATCCATTGGAGCTTGGTGCTTTACCATCATCACCTCGATGGTCTGGATACAAGGTTTTTTTTTTCTTTTTCGGGCCCTGTAGATAGGTAACATATGATCTTTTTGACGGGGTTAAGTAGGTTTATGGCAGATATAACTATAGTCTATAGATCAAAAAAAAAGTTAGTTGGGGTTGCAAACCAACAAACATAGCTGAGGGGCCCACATTGCGACAAAATTCTGACTATTATCAGCAAGCTTATCAGGCCACTTACGAAGTGGGATGATCCGCACTTGGTTTGGTGCCTCAAAACCATGGGTTTTTCCCCCTTGATCCAATGGTTTATCCTATTAAAGGTGGTTTTTTTCCCCCAGGAGTTGGTTTAGAAGCCCTCCAGAATGTCTACCATCAACCCGGAGTTTGTGAACTAAACCAACTTCGCGAACTGAACAAATTTCGGGGCAATGGGGCATCGTTCAGAAAGCCCTTAATGACATCATTTCCAGACCTTTTTTTCTTCTAAAACTCAAAAAGATTTTGATTTTCGGCCAATTCTTCACGGATTGCTTGACTCTATGGATTGGTTTCTTGGGGAAATCTGCTGTCTGGCAGTGCTGGCAGTTCCCGTAAATGGGAAGATTGACTGGATCATGATGAGCATATTCATGATTATTATTTCAGAATCCAACAAACCTAATGTAAGATTCAAGTTTGTTGAACCTTCAAACCATGATTGTGGATCACAACTTGGCGTGTATTTGTTTGCAATGCTCAAGTCAACCTGGGCTATACCCATCCTATTCCCAAGATTCCAGGCATCAGAGTTCGCCAAGCCGCAAACATAGGAGAATTCGGGTGTGGCCACAGGACCTCAATGACGCCAGTTGGGGAATCATTTCTTCAGTGCGTTCCTCCAATCACTATGACTATGAATGACCAGAAATTCTAGGCTTGTTGAATGCAGCTTTATTAGGTTATATATTTCAAAGCAGCACCGTTCAGTCACTTGTCTTCAGGTCATTCGTCTTCGACAGACACTTGCGGCTCAGGAGAACCAAACAAGGAGTCTTAGCGGATTTGGAGGTTCAGGCGAACCTGTCGGGGGCTTGGTGGATTTCTAACTGGTAGCGGAGCCTCCAACACGGAGGCATCCGGTTAGATTTTCACTTAGCCTCAGGTCCTAGGAAGGATCCGGCTTAAAAGCAGCACGTGATCCCACTGTTTTGCCATGGCTTCAGATTCCCGGGAGGGTGCTCAGTGGAAGCGCTTTAGCGGCGAGAATGTCGACGGGAAGGAGTATCGGAAGTGGCGACTGTGGGTAGAGGCCAAGATGGCTTCAGCAAAAGATTTGAGTGACAAGCAGCGTGGCCCCTTTGTTTACTGTCTTTTAGATGGTCTTGCACTGGAATCAGTGGAACATTTGTCCTTGGAGACGCTCACGGAAGTCAATGGCGACAGTCACATCTGGACAGCACTGGATGAAAGATTCCCTGACAAACAGAAGCATGACTGGATGATGGAGTGCTTACGAGAAGTTTTTCAGATCACCTCTACTGAAGGGGAATCGATGGTCGCCTGGACGTCCAGGGTTCAGGAAGTGTTCACAAAGTGCAAGAGGAAGGTCAATGTGGACTTTCCAACTGAGGCCCGAGGCTGGATTTGTCTTCACTCCTCAGGGTTGTCCGAGGATCAGAGGGCAATTGTCACAGCGAAGACCCAGGGAGATTTGAAGTTAGAAACTGTTATGGCAGCCATGAGAAGTTGTTTTCCGGACTTCAAGGCTCCAGCCAAAACAGCCAAAGTGCGCAACTCTGCGGCATACATGGTGGAGGAGGAAACAGTGGATTCCGAAACTGGTTATGATGGACCAGAGTCTGACCCTAGCGATGCCATTGTCTTCGAGGTTGAAGCTTTCTTGGCCGACTATGGGGTTAAGGAGGAAAACACTGCAACCTCCGATGCCTTTGATGAAGCGGAAGTTGCTGAGATTCTTGCAGCAACTTGGCGTGAGCGTCGAAGTGAGATTTCCAAACTGCAGCGCAACAGGAAGTTTTCTCAGGCGATGTCCGTGAAGAAGCAATTCACCCGTGAAGCCTCTGACCTGCGGAAAAAGTCCAAGTGTTGGAACTGCGGAAAAGTTGGTCACTGGTCAAAGGACTGTACAGCCCCGAAGTCATCGTCCTCAAAGTCCGTAGGTTCTGCATCAGACACCGATCGCAGCAAGAAGCAAGTAGCGGCGATGGTAGTAGATCATGCAGCAGCAGCCGATGTTTCCAGCGAGGTGCTTTTGGTATCTTCACCTGGATATGGCATAGTGGATTCTGGATGTAGCAAAACCCTCATTGGGAAACAGACCTTGGCTGATTTCATGAGGTTGTTTCATCGTTTGGATTTGCCTGCACCAACTACAAAACCAGTTAGCAACTTGTTCAAGTTTGGCAACGGTAGTGAGGAATGGTCCGAAAGGGTTGTGGTCATGCCAGTTGGTTTGTCTGGTCAACGTGGTACAATCGAAGCAGCAATCATAGAAGGGAATGCACCCCTGCTGTTGAGCAGGGCAACCATGAAAAGCCTGCAAACTGTTTTGGATTTTGACAACGAAACCATTTCCTTGTTGGGTGCCGATGCTCAGCCAATGAAATACAATGAAGCTGGTCAAATTATCATCAACATGCTGGATTTTTCTGAACATCAGGAATCTTTTGTGGTGAATGCCGTTCCAGAGCGATGTTCACCACAGGAAAGAGTTCAGGGTCTCACCAGGCGAGAAGCTCGTGTTTTGTTGGCCCAGCAATCGTCTTGGAACAAGTCCTCAAGTCAATGTCTGGTGGCAGAACTTTTCTCTCCACCTAGGTTCGCTGAAGTAGCTCGTGATTTGGGCAAGACAGGGCTCTCTTACGACATTCAGCAAGGCTGGGATTTGACAAAGCCGGCAGTTCAGAAACAGGTGAGTGAGGAGCTGGAGAATGCCCGCCCTGACCTTTTGATCATTTGTCCAGAGTGCAAACACTGGGGAGGTTGGTACCGACTAAATCAGAAAAATCTGAGCATGGAACAACAGCTTCGAAACCGCCAGTATGCCAAACGTCAAGTAGATTTTTGTGTGCAAGAGATCAAACGTCAAGTCAAACGTGGTGGTCGAGTGTTGATTGAACACACATGGAGCTCCGACATGTGGAAGTATGAACCCATGGCCAAAGTCACTAAGTCAATGTTCAAGTGCCGAGCCGATATGTGCGCCTATGGATTGACCGATCCCGACGGCACACCAATCCTCAAGCCCACTGCACTGATGGTGTCGCACAGCGATATGCAGTCTCTGGCCCTGACATGTCCAGGACATCACAACCACACTGTGATAGCGGGGAAGGGGTCAGATGGAGAAAACATCAGTAGCCGTTCTGCTAGGTACACTCCTAAGTTCTGCAAGACTTGGCTTAGTTGTGTTCATTCAGCATGTCACTTATGCTCTTTTGCTTGCCTTGAGGAGACACCAGCAGCTGAGATGCCTGAGAGTGAAAGCAGTGACGCATGCCTGAATCCGTCTGAAGCACTGATCTCCGAAGCCTTGGCCGCCGCCAAGAGTGATCAGCACTCGGATTCCACCGTAATGCAGTCACTGACCAAACTTCATAATAATTTGGGGCATCCCTCTAGCAAAGATCTCATGCGTATTTTGCGTAATGCAGGTGCCACTGAGCAAGCAATCAAGCTGGCCCGAGACTTTGAGAAGCAGTGTTCGATTTGCATCCAAAGACAGCGTCCCACACCATGCCTGCCTGCGTCTCCCAGTGCCTGTCTCGACTTCAATCATAAGGTGGGGTTTGATGTTAAGATAGTTCCTGGTTGGAAGGTTGGACAACGTGTCAAGTGTTTGAACATTGTCGACTATGCATCTAGCTATCAAGTCATGCTTCCCTTTTATCAGGTCGAGACCTCAGAGGTATTGCAGAAACTGTTCACAGAAGGTTGGCTTCGGTGGGCTGGTCCACCAATTGAAGTGCTGATGGACCCAGGACGTACAAATACGGCAGATACCTTTGTTGCCTTTCTGGAGCAAGCTGGCATCAGGGTGTTGAGCACAGCAGCCGAGGCCCATAACCAGTTGGGGAAGGTAGAGAAACATGGACATCTGTTTGAAGTCATTTTGCAAAAGGTGTTGGATCAGACACAACCTCAATCACAGCAAGAACATGAGTCATGCCTGATTCAAACAGCCAATAGTAAAAATGAGCTCATCAACAACAAAGGCCTCAGCCCATGTCAGCTGGTTTTTGGTAGAAACCCCAGAGTTCCTGAAGATTTGCTTCAAGATTGGCCTTGCCCGATAGCATCGTCGTCTCCCTTGCACGACGAACCACTGGCCAGAGCCCGTGCTATTAGAGCTTCAGCCCGGGTTGCAGTTGTCATGGCACAAGATGACAAGACCCTGAGAACTGCCATGAATGCACGTCCCCGTGTTGAAAGAGAGTTCCTAGCTGGGGATCTGGTTTGTTATTGGAGAAGCCAAAAGTATCAACGGGGTATTCGCTTGGTTGGAGGTCGTTGGTGGGGTACTGCAATTGTTCTTGGCAAAGTTGGTAGAAATTTCTTGGTGTTTCACAGGAAAAACATGTTCAAAGTTGCCCCAGAACATCTCCGTCATGCTTCCAATGAGGAACGCCTTGCAGCCCAGACTGATGGTCGTGAATTACTTGGACTGACTGATTTAATCGACAAGGGCCAGAACCTTCTTGGACATCAATTCACAGATCTTACCAACCAAGACCGTCCTCCCACTTTGATTGATTCCCAAAATCATTGGATCCAACAAGGAGAGATTTTGCGTAGAGTACATGTTGAGCCACGGACTCACACTTTCATGCCTGACCCTGACGACCCTGTCATCAAAAATTTCAAGTTGGATGATTGGAGGTTAACTAGCATAACGGGAAATTGCCAGTGTGAACAGGAAGAATGGGTTGACACCCCTTGGTCCATGTTGGAACAACAACACAGGAAGGTTCAAGAAGAGCCCTGGACAGGTGAATCTCGCTTTTGGATCCAAATGCCATCCAAGCCTGTTGAACCGATCGTTAGTCAGTCCGTGACTACTGGTCTGTCGTCAATTCCCGAAGACACGACCACAGATGTGTCCGCCAATGTGTCGACACCAAATCTCGGCTCGACAGTGCATGGGCCATATCCTGCCGCAAGCACACCCAGTTCCAGCCCTGAAACCAGCACATATGGTCCTGTTCGTGTTAGGCAACAGAAAGGTCCCGAAATGTTTGTTTTCCGACCAGTTCAAACCCAAGCAGAAGATCTCATCGATGCATTGCAGGAAATGTCAGAAGAACGTAGTGAGGCACACAAGCGGCCAGCATCTCGAGAGCCAAGTGCGGATCCACCGCACAAGAGTGCTCGCACCGAAGATTCCTCTAGTGATTGTCTTTTGGCTCAGTGCGTTGCCGAGCAGCCTGATGCTGGGGTGGAAGTTTTGCTTTCTACTTTCATGAAAAAGAAAATGCAGAAGGAGTTACATCACTCAAAGAATCCCCCAGAGTTGCAAGCCAAAATTGATGAATCCAAGCTGTTGGAGTGGAACACCTTGGAAGATGAGAAACAAGCAATTGTTGTCATTCCACCTCATGAAGCAGCAGTCATCCGTAAGCAAAAGCCTGATAGAATCATGTCAAGTCGATTTGTGATCACAGAAAAACAAGAAGATAAGAGCACTCGAGTGAAATCCAGATGGTGCTTGAGAGGACATCACGACCCTGACTTGATTCAGAAAGTTCTTGCAGGACGTTGTCACAGCCCAACCTTGTCTCAGCTCAGCCGAAGTCTGATACTGCAGCTCATTGTGAGCCATCAGTGGGATATGGGGTTGGGAGACATCAAAGGTGCCTTCCTTGAAGCCGATGTTCGAGAGCAGGCTTTGAAAAATCCTGTGTACGCCGAACTTCCTCCTGGTGGTGTTCCAGGTGTGAAACCCGGATCCCTGGTTCAAGTGTTAGGCAACATTTACGGAGCAAATGATGCACCAGCCAATTGGTACAAGGAGTTCAATGACGTCACGGTTCAAGCTGGGTTCACTCGTTCTCGTTTTGATAGCTGTTTGTATTGGTGTTTTGGTCCTAAGGGTGAGTTGCAAGGTGTTCTAGGAGCTCATGTTGATGACACCATCACAGGGGGGTCCGGGGAAGCATACGAGCGTGCCATAGAATTTCTGAAAGGCCGATTTCCGTTCAGAAAGTGGCGCACTGGCTCAGGTGAGTTCTTAGGAACCCAATATAACCAAAATCCCGTCACCAAAGAAATCAGCTATAATCAGAAAGAGTATGCCCAGAGTCTCAAACCAATTTATGTGTCCCGAGAACGAGCCAAGAAATATTGGCTCCCTGCTTCTGAACGTGAAGTTGCAGCCTTGCGAGCAGTAAACGGTGCCCTGGGATGGCTGAGTTCACAGTCCAGACCAGACCTTGCAGTGCAGACGTCCTTGTCGCAACAGGCCTTTCCAGTGCCGACTGTACAGGATTTGCTGCAGGCAAACCAAGCCGTCAGACGTGCAAGACAGCAAGCTGATTTGGAAATCACAGTGCCTTTCATTCCTCCACAAGATCTCACAGTTGTGTTTTGGTCCGATGCTGCCTTTGCGAATACCCAGTCTTTGCACACTCAAGGCGGTTGGTTAATGGCCATGACTTCTAGGAGTTTCTCGGCGGGTGAGGATGTTCCAATCCATTGCATGAGCTGGCGATCATATCGATTGCCGAGAGTTGTGTCCTCAACGTTAAGCGGTGAAGCTCAAAGTTTTGCAGTGGCTTCTAGCATAGCCGAATGGATCTTGCTAGTTTTGGCCGAAGGTCTTGACGGACCATTTCCTCTCTCCAACGTCGATGAAGTGCTTAGACGTAGGAAACCTGTAGGGGTCAGTGATTGTCGATCTCTATACGATCACCTCAATACCATTGGCAATGGTGGAACGTTGGATGATAAAAGAACAGCAATTGATATTGCAATCATTCGACAATCCATTCAAAGGTGTGGTCTGGAACCTAGGTGGTGCCCCACGGGTCATATGGTCGCCGATGCACTGACGAAGGACAAGGGAGAGCCACTTGACCTCCTCCGCTCTGTAGTCCGCCAAGGTAGATATCAACTGGCTGGTGAGCAAACAGTTTTGGAGCGTAAAAAGGAAGAGAAGCTCTTGCGTCAACAGAAAGCCCATGAAAGAGCAGAGAAAAACAAGACTGATCATCAAAAGGTTGTTTCCAAAGAGCCTGCTGAGGGTTCTTAGTCGCTGTTGCCCACCGCACTAAGTTTTGTGTCTGAGCCTAATTAATCTTTCAACATCAGTAGCCTGGGAGATGATAGTTAACTAGGGGGATAACTATTATGCCGTAAGCCGCACATCTCTGAGGAGAAACATCAGCTGTCGCTGGGGCGAAGCTGATGATACCCCAGTTTTGCATGCCGCAGTTGCAGAGTTTTGTAAATCCGAAGACTGGCCCAAAGCCTGTGTCGGTGTGTGCACTGACGTGACTGTTTCCCATTTTCGCTTTGTGAAATCCATATACTTTTGCCGCTCTCCGAGTTTTTGCATAGTTTTTCAGAAATGTCCAAGCAGCCCATCACCACGGAAGAGTACCAGCTGATGAAGCAGCTCATGACCAGGCTGAATCAGTTTGGAGTTCAGCAAGACGGTGCCGTGATTCCAACACTGGAGCCTACTCATGGTGCTATGACAGATGCATCGAAGCGTCATCGCGATGCAGATGACGAGCTGTGGGCTGAGTCTGAATGTGATGAAGGGAGCTGGTCGATTCCTGTTCAGGAGTCTGGCTCATCGGCCGATCAATTGCCGGTAAAGCCAACGACTCCGGGCAAGTTACAGCTGCCGCCCGGCGTGAGTTCCATCGAAGAATGGGGCCGCACAGTTTGTGAGTTGCCGGCTGTGATGCAGTTGAAGAAGAGCTATGCAGAGATTGTGAAGGATCCGAACCAAGTGAGCTATCTGAAATGGGTGGCACGCCATGAGGTTGGTATGGGTCCCCGCGTGGCAGATCTGGCAAAGTATTTGAAGGCGGTGAAGTTTGAAGAGAGCTGCGATCAGGGAAAGTCTTCCAGTGCCATTTTTCCCGGCACAAACATCATTCGCAAATTCAAGTAAGTGAAGGCATTCTTGCCTGTGACGGACGTTGTGCATTGCTTGCTCCCATGGTATCAGCATGCATGCAGACCGGAGTTTCTGCAAAATCCTTTTAATTGTTTAATGGGAGTTTCAAAGCAGCACCGTTCAGTCACTTGTCTTCAGGTCATTCGTCTTCGACAGACACTTGCGGCTCAGGAGAACCAAACAAGGAGTCTTAGCGGATTTGGAGGTTCAGGCGAACCTGTCGGGGGCTTGGTGGATTTCTAATATATATATCGTATTCGCCTAACTGGAAAAGACACATAAAGCATCATATAGCAATCCCCAAAAGAATAGAGACGTCACATTCCAACTGAAATAATAATATGGCACTGTGTCAAAACCTTGGTACCCCTGGTGAACATCAAAATAGCTGGTAAATGGATGTTCATCCCATTAAAAATGGTATTAATAGGTATTGACCCATAGCTATATAGTAGCTAGTTACTGTTCTATCTGTTTGGTGGTTGGTATACACTGGGACCACTTGACATGTCAGGGAATGAGCTGCTGGTGCAGGATGAAGTACCAAAAATTGGTCAGATGGGTTCCATGACAAACTGGGGATAGACATGTAAGAAAGTATACACTCTACTTTCTACATGTACATAATCATGTATGCATATATATTATATTATATATTTAATATATATATATATATATGTATGTTCAAATATAATTATATATAGATATATGTATAATTATATATATATATACATAAGTATATAGAATTATATAGATATATACACATATGTGCAGAATTCATTATAATCATGTTATATATATATTATTGGCATCTGCTGTCTATGTCATTCAAAAAACAACAAATATGCGGCCTGGCCACACACCTTGTACTGATTGCACTGCCCGGTGCTCTGGAGACACTGGTCATTGCACTCCTGATTTGCAGCGATGTCTCGTTGATTCGTATGGAAATTCAAGGATTCCCTACAAAATCCTACAAGGTGGTGCCCCATAGTTAGCTAAGTTGTTGGCGAAGATAACTCCAATAACTATGGTTTATGGTAGATATATCTATAGAATCTAGTTACTGGGGTTTATAAACCAACTGATAACTGGGGGCCTCACATTGTAGGAACATGATCTACAATAGATGGCTTTGCACGGATTTTCCATAAGGCTGCTCTGCGGGTATCATTTCCAGGTTATTTCGATCCATCGGTGGCTTCATGGTTCACATGACACACTTCCCTCATGTTCAGGACCAGCCAAGCCTCCAACTTGGGGACTAAAATTATACCGTAGTTTCACCATGTCGACGGTTGCACAGAATAAACCGTCAAAACAGTCAATGACTGGAGGGCCCAAGCAACTGGTTGGAATCTCTGAAAGCAGTCTATCTTGGCATGGTGGTTGATCAAAGTCCACGATCGCCGCTTCGACCATGACATTCCCAAGTTTCAAAGTCCACGATTCCACGCCCCGACCCAGTGACCCCAGTCTCAAAACATCTGGGCTCAGCCATCAAGAATCCACGGTAAATCAGCCATCCCTGATTACAACCAGCCCCAATTATCGATGGCCGGTGATATACCCTCTGGTAAACTAACATAGCAATGGAAAATGACCATTTATAGTGGATTTTCCCATTAAAAATGGTGATTTTCCGTAGCTATGTTAGTTCACCAGTGGGTATTCATCATGGTCTTTCCGTATTTCTTCTGATTGCCACATCATTTTTGTGCCAAGGGGATGCCATCCTGGTGAGGACTGCTACGTGCCATCAGGTTTGTGACTGCGCATACGAGCTCGGGGTCATTCACAGTCAATTTATGGCGATCCGCGTATGTACATCTAAAACCATTCTGGATCACTATTTGCTGTTTGTTGTTTTTTTCACAATGTTGAACATCTAACATGTTTGAAACCACTTAACCAGCTATCTTTTGGTGATATACCTGTGTTCAGGGCTGCTCCCAACACCCACAATTGGTGGAAACTGGGTAAATCCTCGTGGCTACGATTCACCAAAAAAGTTACTGGGAGCAACCCGGATCACCATCAAAATTTCAATCATCTCTTACAATGTGTGGCCCCCTAGATAGCTAAGTTGGTTTATAACTCCAATAACTATGGTTTATCATACTTATAACTTATAACAATAGTTAATTGGGTTTATAAAGCAAGATATAGATAAAACTATAGATAGAACTCAGTACTACTTATCAATCTGGTGACCTCCAATGTTTGTTGGATAAGACTAATCATTCTTTTGGCGCAGCGATTATGATTATAGACATGGTTATTCTTGTTGACCACGATGTTCTTCCGTGGTTCATCCCCCAAGGTGGGGAAGCCCCTTGATTTTAGATAGCTAAGTTGGTTTGTAACTCCCAAAACTAAGATTTCTGGCAATTATAAGTTGCTTTATAAACCCGATTAACTATTGGGGGACACCAGATTGATAAGTAGTACTGAGTTCTATCTATATAGTTGTATCTATATCTACAATGTGGGCCCCCTAACTATAACAAAGTGAGAATGGAGCTTATTCACCAACAAACATGTCACTGTTGTGTTTGCCCACCTTGTAGTTGTCTACTCACAAGTTGGTTTATTACCCATTTAACTATAGTTCTTTCCCAACATCTAACTATAGTTCTTTCATCTCACAGTTAGTAGACAAATTCCGAATCTACTTTGGTGGAAAAGCTTAAGTAACTCATCTGGTTGGTGGTATACTTACCCCTCTGAAAAATATGAGTTCGTCAGTTGGGATGATGAAATTTCCAATATATGGAAAAAATAGAATTCGTGTTCCAAACCACCAACCAGTCGTGGTTTACTACCCATCTAATGATCGTTTGGTGGAGAAAATCCATCATTTTTTCACCCCGCCTGGGATGCCTTGGTGCCCTCGCACATCAAGCTACACTGCTGGGAGCACCTGTGTGGAGAAGTTGGCTTCCTGGTGGTTTCTCGTTTTTATAACAGAGCAACTACAAATATATCCTGGTTGGTGGTTTCAATCCCTCTGAAAAATATGAGTTCGTCAGTTGGGATGATGAAATTCCCAACTGAATGGAAAGTCATAAAATTCCATGGTTCCAAACCACCAACCAGTATCTATAATAAAAACGAGAAAGGAATGTCATGAATGATAAAAGAACGTCATGAATTTCGCCACCATTTCCGTGCGAGCCATTTCTGTAAGCGTTTTAAGCCCACTGGTGAACCGTTGTGACATTTTATATGGGTTGACCAATGCTGTGGTAGTGCCGAGATGCTTTGAACAACTGATCTATATACTCATTTTTTCCACATGGCTTAACATATCCAAAATGTATTTCTTATAGGAGACAATGATGGTTTTTTACCACTTCGTTTTTGTTGTTACCCGTTTCCATTATTCATTTGTCAATTCCCTAGCCGTTTGACTCATCATTTTGGGTTAAACAGTCCCATCCAAGATCAAATACCACCTTGACAACCCTCGTCAAGTTGTGGATCTATTTATTCGGAGGACCGCATAGGGGGGTGTTTCATATATGATTACATATACAGTATATTGGCTATCTGGTTAAATTATAATATTTCACTAGCCTGGATTAAGGCCATTTAATTTGGGGATGGTTCCCCTTATTAACCATGATTCCAGTGAGGTCGCAGTGAGGTCGTTATAATTTACCCAGGGCTACGTATCCGCAGTAAAACCATGTTGAACCACCATTTTTGATAGTGAACCATCCTATTTGGTTTTATCATTATATGTCTGATGATAAATAATGATACAACCATGTGAAACCCAACGTTTACCATCTGGTTATTTAACGTAGCCATGGAAAATCACCATTTTTAATGGTAAACCATCTATAAATGGGCCATCTATACCATGGCTATGTTAAATAGCCACATAATAAATGTTTTCGTTTTTGTTTTACGATAGGTCAAATCCGTGAAAAATCACCATGTTACGATCCTGAGGGGATTTCGACAGCAAGGTGCTGAAGAGCTTCCGGAGTGGAGCAATCGACGGAGCAATTGGCCTGGGACACCGTGGTGGTCCAATCCCTAAGGATCCATGTATGGAATATTTACCTACATTGACCCCTAAAGTAATTTAACATAATCCCAATGTAGGTAAATATTCCATACATGGATCCTTAGGGAATACATGGAGTAAACATTCCTAAGTCCACTGCAAACACTTTGAACAGTTTTGAAAACAACTCGGTGAGAATCATCTCCGAATGGTAATACTCAAAAAAAACACAGTTTGGACTCCTGATTTTGGATCCCATCATGTCCCTATTCAACGCTCGGCCTCGCAAAAAGGGCGGCTTTGGTTGCTGCTGGATCCACAGCAGTTCTGGGAATGAAGCTCCTGAAGGATGTGGTCCATTTTTGTTTGGGATACCCTCTGGTAAACTAACATAACTATGGAAAATCGCCATTTTCAATGGGAAAATCCCCTATAAATGGTCATTTTCAATAGCTATGTTAAATTACCAGATGGTACCAAGATTTGAGCTGCAACCCTTCGGGAAGAAGATATGCAGCATCGTGACTCTATCAGAGATCTAGTCTATTCTCTCGCTGAGTGAAAGTAGGAAGTTCAAACATGGCATTCGTTTTTTTGTTATCCAGGGTCCAGGATGCAAACAATAGCGAACCGGGCGGCGTGAGCAAAAACAAGTATAGATATCATAGATCTGGCTGGCGGCGATTCTTTCATACTGTAATCACCCCTACATTCACCGTCATTCACTCTCTCCTGAGATTTCTTTGCACATTTTATCCCATGATATATTATCATATCAATGGTTTTGTTGAATATATGCAATTCATGATATATTATCGATTATTAGCCATCATTACAAACTAAGAATTCATTATACAGAATTAGGATCAGCCATTGTATTGACCATTCTCAGTGGCCATGAGTATCCTCTGGTGATTTAACATAGCTACTGAACATGGCCGATGACATAGATTATGAAATATGATGATTTATGAAT